GCAACCCAGACAACGCCTCCCGAAAGGCCCCAAATCCATCCGAGTAAGCAAATAGCAACCCAGACTGTGCCTCCAAAGGTCCCCAAAGGCCCCTACATCCATCCGAGTACGCAAATAGCAGCCAGGGCTGTGCCTCAAAAGGCACCCAAATCGATCCGAATAAGCGAATACAGCAACTAGCAACCCAGACTGTGCCTCCACTCCCAAATCCATCCGAGTAAGCAAACAGCAACCCAGACTGTGCCTCCAAAACTCCCCAAAGGCCCCCAAGTCCATCCTAGCAACCCAGACTGCGCCTCCAGAGGCTTTTGAAAGGCCCCCCAAATCCATCCGAGTAAGCAAACAGCAACCCAGACTGCGTCCAAAGGTCCCCAAAGGCCCCTACATCCATCCGAGTACGCAAGTAGCAACCCAGGCTGTGCCTCAAAAGGCACCCAAATCCATCCGAGTCAGCAAGTAGAAACCCAGAATACAGTATACAGAGTATGCTGTATACTGTATACTGTATACTGTACATACGTGCAGAAGACAGCCTCGCCAACATAGGTTTCAAGAGTATAGCCCGGAGCAAAGTTAGTCAGGATTGTATACAGTATACGGCGCAGAAGAGTCAGTAGAGCAGTAGTAGAAGAGCAGCAGAGCCGCAGAAACAACAAATATCAAGTGTTCCACAAAGAATCCGCTGTGCCTCCTTTGCGAAGGACACCTGCTTGGTTTCGCTTCCGATTTTTTTCAAGTCGAACCCCTGGTTCTCGAGCCACTCGCTCACCGGAAGAACCGTGCCAGTGTTGAAGAACTCGGCAAAGCTTTCTTCCGCAGCGTAGCTCTTGAAGCTGAGCTTCTCGTGTGTACGCTTGCGACCAGTGGAGACACAGTTCAGCGCACGCTTGTCTTCCCAAGCGCTCTTGGCTTCCTGCGTGTGAGGAGCAGCTCAACACAAACAAGCCGCTCACACAAGCCCCAGTAAGTTCATGCTACACCCCGCCATCAATGCCTACACTGCCGGTCCGGATTGCGCTGAAGGAGGCTATTCAGCTTCGCTTGCGGCATCCCACAGAAGTTGTGTGTCCGAGTTGCCTGGCGGAAAAGCACACAGCCGGTTCATTTCGGCGATGATATAACCCAGCACGTTTGTCCGCAACACAACGTCACAATGTCAATGTCTGATGACTTGTTTTCAACAGTTGGCCGCCAAGTCACAAGACAGTGACCGCATTCGTTGCCTTCTTCCCGGTCTCGCACGCCGGTGGCCTGCATTGCAAGGCGTAGTTGAAACTCAGCCAGCGGTAACTGTGTCTGTCGCAGATACGCGCACAATCTAGGCATATCATACACTAGGTTTGAA